GTTAGTGTATGATTCTTGCAATGAGGACCAAGGAAGATGAGTTCATATTAGAAGAGGTGCAAGGAATGAATACTCAGAATTCTTATGAGACAAAATCGGAGATTTTGCTTGCTTAGCTTTGTACAGCAAAGGCTAAGAGAGGATATGATTATTACCTAAATGCATCAAAATAACAACTGATGGGGGGGGGTAGGAGGAAGTCAGTAAATTAATTTGAGGTACAAGAAAATTAAAATGGGTAGTGCAAGATCTATAGATTTAAAAAAATATACTTTTAGCCATCTAGATAATGAGATTCTGGAATGCTTTCTAATAGGAACAGTGGTTTTAATGGTGTTTTTGACCAGTTTAATAACATAATGTTAATAACATGATACAACACATTGACATTAAGATCCAGGAGAAGACAGTTATGACAATAAGGTTGAGAGACCTCACCTTAATTTGCATTTTTTTTGTCAACTGATAGGCAAAAACCATGCTAGTTTTCATATCCAGAAGATAATTGTAAATAAAAATTATAAAACCAAGTAAAATACATGGGGTTGATTTGGTTAGTCTTCTTACGACATACTGTAAGCACCTTTATAAAAAGATCTCTTCCTTTGTAAATACGGAAATCAGTATATTTCTTGCTCAGAGAAAAACACTGCTGTTCCAAAAGCATAATCCTAGTTTTTATGCTGTTACAGTTCATTTCTGTAGAATACTGAATACCTCTCTGGAGAACTGAGATCAAAAAAGCCTTGAAGCAGAGCAACAACTAACTGCACTTCAGCTGAGGCACCGTAAGAACTGATTATCGAGCACTGTTAAGGCATCACAATAAATAAGATCAAGGAACTTAGCTTAAATTTTATGAAAAGGCAACATATTTCATCTATAAAGATGGGTAGATGCTCGAGGTGCTCAAACAGTTGCACAGTTGACAGGCACTTCCAGAGCAAACCATTGTATTTTAAACACATTTAATCCTAGTACTGCCAAACTTTTTTTTTTTTTTTTCCCTCTGGGCACTAAAATACAAAGAGTTAAAAGATTTGGCACAGAACGATACTGCAAAACACTGGAGTGGACTAAATAGTCTACACTCTGATATACATCCCAGGCCCCTTGTTAAATCTTCTGTAAGATTCCATCTGTAAAGGTGAGTTAATGGAACTAAATATGAGAGTATATCTTATACACTTGCATAAAGATATCTTTCTTCAAATAACTAATGAGAGCAACTTTTTTGCTTATCTGCCAGATTTCCCATTGAAGCTTATTTGATAATGTTCATATTTTTCTATACTGCTGACTGAGCTGGTGACTAGGGGGATTAGGCAGCTGGAGTATACAACATTTTCAGGTACTCCAACTGGTGATTAAAGAATACCTGCTTGTGTTTCTTGTTCTAGAAGAGGAGCATACATGTGCCTATGAGACATTCAGTTCTCATGAAAAAGAAAATAAAAATAAACAACAAATAAAATCTTACAGTGTTTTATCAGCAATTGGCTTTTCCCTGTGTCAGCACTCTTGACAGTTCCTCTCTTCAGACCCATAGTTTTCAACAAACAAACAAAATTTGTTCCAGGCCACTTGTATGACTAACATAATCTACTTAACCAGAAATAGCGTAATTAAAAATCAGCTTCTTGCAACAAAGCTCCCAAATAACCAGATGGATCCCTAAGGAAAGTGAGTTTCAGGGTAACAATCCACCCTCATTAATACTCTGTGGGTCTCCAAGAATTTCTCCCAAGGAAGGAAAGTATGAAAGGGCTATCTTGTGACTTAGACAGCTCTCTGATCACTTGCAAATGTCACCATTCTCCCTGCTACTCTAGTTATTCCAATTAGGCTCCTTCCAGAGACTCAAGTCCAGAGCAGCAGGTTGGGTTTGAGTCCCACAGGCAGATGTTCAAAAGATGCCTGAATATCATGAATGCCTGCAGTATATCTGGTTGTTGCCAGCCTGCCAAAAATGCCTCTTAAATGAAAGCTGATTCACTCTGTGCAACACTGAGTTCATTTGCATTCCTCATCCTATCTCAAGTGAAAAGGACTGTCCCGAGAATCAATAAGCACATGAAAATCATGCAATACCCAGTGGGGGTTAAAAACTGCATAACACAAGACAGCAGTGAGCCCTAAGTTTCTAAGTAAAAATCCCATGCATTTAAAACAGAAAAGAAATAGATCAGAAATATGAAGAATTCGCAAGCACAAAGCCTCGTGCATCAAAGCTGAAATTTCTGATGGAGAAGACTAAACTTAATTATGAGTAAAAAAGTCATGCATTCTGATACCACCAGAAAAATGCACTAACTTTAAGTCCCTATTGAGCTGAACACACTAGGGTTGCAGAAAAATATCATCTGAGCTGTATTATTTGTACCTGGGAGTTACAGCTAGAGATGGACATTTCTATTCGCAAGCTGAATGTTTCTGATTCATTTTCTGTAAGTTTATAAATCTTACAAATTTTGTTCTGAAAACTCAAAGCATAGTTCATCTGAAGAGAGATGCAATGTTATCTGAAGAAAGCAGGACTGTGAAACTACAAATATGTGGTATGCAATACATAAGTTATCCAGCCCATGTCTTATCATGTCACCAGCACTTCATGCAAAGATGCTACTGCCTGATCAGCTGGGTTCTTCTGTTGGTGCCTTTGCAAACTGCTCAACTTTGAGGGTAGGAAGTAGAGGTCACTACTGATTATGTAGTAGAGAGCCAGGATACAATTCCCTGTATCCTATATCTAATTTAAACATTTTACATTCATTTCTCCTTCTGGCATAATACCAAGTTGATAAAGTCATTAGATCGTTCACAAAATATTATTTCCCCACCACTGAAAAATTTGAGCAGGAAGTAGCTAGAGAACAGAGAGCAGTGTTAGATTCCAGTCAGGAAAGACTAGTGCTACAGGCAACTTAAAGTTAAGGGAATGTTTACCATAATCACCTCAACTCCAACATGGCCAAGGAAAGAGATGTTTCAAAAGAGCTTCTGAAAGTTCCCAGGACAAAACTGGTATCAGATTTTGCTTTTTCAATTTTGGGATGGATGTCTGTTTCTAGTATAGCACTATCCTACCCAGAGTTTAAAAGGAAAAGCATGTGATTAAAATTCTAAGCCTGCCCTGAGTACTCTATAAGCATGGTTTTATTCTAAAGAAAATTGATTCTTATAAATCATTTTCTGCAACACGATGATTGTTTTAAGAAGCATTTTTTTGAGCTTCAGGTATAAAAATTCTTTATTTTAGATGACTTAGCAGTATCAAGAGGATAAATTATATTTAAAATAAGTAAATTATTCCTCCAACTTTTTATAAGCAGAAATTTATCATAAGGTTAAGGGGGAAAAATATGTAACTTCATTAAGGCCTTAATAAAATTTCACCAGGATATTTTGCATTGGAGTAATTTTTTCCTCTTTTTGTTGATAAAATAGTTTTCAGAATTTTTTCCCCAATGCAAAGAGAAGCTTTATAAATTGAGATAATGTTTTCAGAAGAGAATGATACTTTTTCCTCAAAATTAAGTTGCATAGAGAGGCCTTAAAAATAATCTTCATTTTATATATAAAGGAAAGCACAATAATCTTTATAGAAAATGAATTCATAGAGCTGAGAAGCTGAACACAAGCTTCCCTGCACAGATCCCGTTAGCAGGCTAAGACTGCTCTTGAGAAATTGGGTCATCCATCAGCAAGAGAGAGAGGGGGATCCTCCAGTTCCTGTTACCGGGAAGTGCAATCTGCTATCAAAAAATAGAAGCACAGCTATTGCTTTTCTAATAAAAAGAGAAAAAAAATGAAGTGATACTAAAGGATCAACTCACATTCATTCAGCAAACTTTCTATGCTATGAAACAAATAATTTCAGTATGAGAAAATGACTTGGAGGGTGAAGGTAAAGAGAGACAATGAACAGACAGAAAGCAAGGGGACTGTTCAGGAAATCTTACTCTAATTTGCTGTTATCCTTCACGTGTATTTCACTGTGGGTGAAAGGAACTGGGAACGGTATCAACAAATAAGCAGCACCTCTCTCTAAGAATTTGTACGGAACTCAATGCTAAAACATAGTCCTTTTTGAAATAATAAAAAATTGACGTGCATTTGGACAGTTTACAATTATTACAGAATCACAGTGTATGTTAAAGTGTAATACACACATTCATGGGAAAAAAGTATTAGATTGCATACAAGTATTATTATATAAAAATACAGTCTAAGCATCTACATATATAAGTGTAAATATATGCATATATAAGTATATATAAGTAACCCCTGTATAAATATTCCTCTCTATATATGTTACCAGATCCACACTCTCCTTAAATGAGAATAACAGCACCTAGAACCAGTAAGCCACCCTACGTTCCCATCATGTTACCTTCATTCCACACTTACAGTTGGTGCTTTTTCAATTCTAATGAAGAGGGAGAGGTTATATACCTTTATGAATTGTGGGGAAGCTTGCAGAACATGTAAACGCTGGTATTTTACAGGAGTAGCAGGGCTAGGAAATAGCCTTTTTTCCCCTCAGTGACTAAAGGGCAGCTGAAGAATAGTATAGGGGATACCTGCTACCAATTTTCTCTTGCTTCTGATCACGATGTTGAAGATCCTCATGATATTTATCGGTATCACCCAGAACTCACTAAAAGTTTCAATGCAACCTGCTACATCCTTCAGTACTACCTCTTCTCCAGCTCCTGTCTTTCACTGAGGCAATTTAATACAGCTCTATTTGCACATATCCTAAGCACATGGTAACAAGCAGCATTATACTTTAGCATCAAAATTTAGCAGCACGCTTGCAACAAAATTGCTTGAAAGCCTCTAAAAAGACAAATAAATAACCTCCAACCCGAGTACTTGGGACTGGATATCACCACCGCCCGCCGCGGCGGAGCTGGGCGCTCTAATGAGGGCTGCTAATTGCGAACACCCCTTCCCTGCTGGCAGGGGGGAGTCCCCCAAAGGCGGGGGGGCCCTACCTTGGTGAGCTGCGCGATCTTCTTGCACATCCTCACGTGGAGCGCGGGCTCCGGGGGGCGGCCCTCGCCGGAGGCCATGGGGCCGCTGCGGGGCCGCCTCCTCCCCATGGCCCGGCAGCGGCGGCGGCGCCACCACGGGGCTCGCCCGCAGGTTAAATCCCGGTGCGCTGCGCGGAGGCGCTTTCTGCGCGCTCCGCCTCGGGGCAGGTCCCCCTTGGGGCCCCGGACGGGACAGCAAAGGGACGAGGACAATCTGGTTGCGCGGCCGCGGCGCTGCCCAAAGCGGAGCAGGGCGGCCCTTCCCGGCAAGGGACACGGCGCGACGCGGAGCGCGGCGGCTGCTCTGTCCCCCCCGGACACGTTGGAAACGTGGGCTGGAAGGACACGGACTACACCTTACCGGGCGTCTTCCTTCTTTATTTGCAGCCCGCCCCTTTACTCCAAGGGATAAGGCTTCTAAATCTGCCGGAGAGAGGGGGGAGGAGAAAAAAAAGTCAGAAGTTTGTTTTAGATCACAGAATCACAGAGTGGTTGAGGTTGGAAGGGACCCTGGAGATCATCTAATCCAACCCCCTGCTCAAGCAGGGATGCGGAAAGCACGTGGCACAAAACCCAAGCTCTTAAGATGAAATGATTTTAAAAGAAGAAAAAAACAGTAAGGGGTCAAGCAAGCCGCAAACGGTTAGCAGGCGCGTTTAAACAAGAGCAGAAGAAACGGGAAGGAAAAGAAGCAAGGTGGGAAGACAGAGAAGGCAGGGAAGGGGGGATGCGCAGGGAAGGCGGCAGCTGCCCCAGCGAGCGGCTCCGCAGCCTTCACTGCTGACCGGGACGCGGGGGGGGCGGGGAGCCCGGGATGCCCAGAACGGGGGGCATCCGACCTTAGGATAAAAAAAAAAAAACAAAGCCCTGAATTTCTGGAAGACAGAGGCTCTCCAAAGCTCCGAAGGTAGAAAGAAGCTTCGGTGCAGGAAGCTTTTCCCATGATTAGGGACCAGGGATGCCCCGCTGTCTGTTACTGGCGAGATGCGTTACTCACATGGGAGTTCAACACAGTTAATGCAGTCACGGCATCTTCTCCCCTTGGTCACCAGTCTGAGGAGGAAGAGGTATAGGCTTTATTATCCGTCAAATTTTGATAAGGTTCATGAGTTTACTAGGACCACCAAGAGAGCACTCAAAAAAGGGATAGGACAGTTATATAAGCTTTTATTTTCCAATGAGAATTGGGAAAATTGAGTGAAAATACAAATCAAGTTAAGAAAAATGCAATGCACTTCAGAGGTACTTAAGAGAAGTTACCTGTGTTATCACTCAGATACATAGATAAGACAAGCAATTTCATGTTTCCTCTGCTGAGTGTCAGAGGACATTCCTGGGCCTGAAGGCGTGGATGGATGGAGGCTGGATAAGAAGCAAAGAGGAGCTCAGATCTTCAGATACACCAGGAAAATGACAAGAGTTTTTTTTTTTTTTTAAGCTGGCAGTTCATGTATTGGGGAGGGGGTGGGAGGAAAGGCAAGACTTGAGCCTTTGGTGTGTGGTGGTGTGATGATTCTAGCAAAGCACCATTTCATTTTTTAACCAGTTGACCTGTTCAGTCCTGACAGAGAGGAGGAAAAGTTAAGGATAATCCAATTTCTATTTTGAAATTAGGTAACGGGTAGAGGATGAAGTTCCCATGCAAATAGTCCCCTTGGCAAAGGCTGCAGTACGAGATCAAGTCTTTGCTAGACCCGCAAAGGAAATGACATGGAAGAACTGTCAGCAAAACTTCAAATACTGGGAAAGCTTCAGTCAAAGTTCATGCACCAGAAAACGCAAACACAGAGCATAAATTCATAAGAGACTCAATGTTTTGTTAGTTCCTCTACTCAACAAAATACTTGCTTTCAGTGACAGAATTTCAGTAGATAATGCCAGAGCTTTTCAAGGAGAACAGGAGAATCTGACTCACTTTTTTTTTTCCCCTTTCTTTCCTTACTGATCTAGAGATCACTCATGGATTAGTAAAAAGGACAAAGTAAAGATATCACAAGTGTAATTTAAGTGTGCGCACTGTAAATGCAGATTTTGAGAGCCATGTCAAACACACAGGTTGATTACAAAAGCATTTTTGAAACTGAAGCAGTTTTTGTAAAGATACAGTTTAAAATACAACTTAAACAGTCTAAATAGAAAACGTGCACACACACTTTGGTTTGAATTATTATTGCTGCATTGGTTTTAAGAAGATTATAGAAGAAACTCATTCTATCCCCACTGGCTTTTTAACTAGATAAGCAACTTTGTAGGGGTCTATAGCTTTACTGCTTAGGCAGATTAAGCAATTTACTTTTTTATTAGCAGAAATAAGTCATACATGAATAAACACGCCTTTCATTTTCACTACCTGCTACCTGTTGAATATGCAGACTCTACAGTTTCTGAAAAATTCACATCCTTCTTTGCAGTCCTTCCAATCAGGCCATGTGGTATGCATACTACAGTTCTGAGACCTTGTTCTACGAACTTTAGCCTTCTCAGCCTTTGAACCTTTGAAAATCATAGCACAAAGAACATCTTCATGTGACAGGATGTTCTGTTTCTTACTTTGATGGAGGGTTATGCTATCATTGTACAATAGAAACAGTTATTGTTTAACACACTAGAGGTTTAGGTTTGTTTTTTAATAATGTATTTGGGGGAATATTCACTGAGATCAGTTAGCGAAGAAATGAATACCACTTCTTATGAGCTTTGACACATGGATTCCAAAAAAAACCCAAAAAACTCACAAATGAGCACTCCCCTTCTGTAACACTTTTATGGTGCCTTGGTGCTTTTCTCCCTCTATCAAAGGAGAGAAACAACTCAGCCCACAACCTGCATACAAAGTAAATAACTTTTTAGTTCCTATGATTATACTACAGCACCAAAGCAATTTGTCATTGCTGAGTTAATTAAATAATATTTTGTCCTGTCACACATTTAAGTCTAGAAGACTGACTCCAAGTTAAGAAACACTCTTGGATAGTTGATCAGTCAATGTCAATAAATCTTTAAAAGATCCTCTAAATCAACATCATCAGGGATGGCAAATTGGAAAAGACTCGATCCAAGATACAGTTACTATAAAATCTCTTGCTATGAAACAAATCAGCCCTCTGCTTAAATGACTGAAACAAATTTTGATAAGCTTTCATAATACATATATCATGTATATGTATTAAACATCAGTGTAACTTGAGTAATGTCTTGATCCACCTAGATCAAACTCATCCAGTTTATCTCACTATCTTAGCTGAAAGGTAAGTCCATCAATCCACCATTATTATTCACCATTATATCTAAACATAATTTTTGTTTGTGCCACATACAGGATAAGATTAGCTACCATTATAAGATTCTCACATCCCATATTCCAAGATATAAAGAAGATATTTTTGTTGTAAATGTGTTTTTGCTTCCTTGTTAATATATGTATTTCACACAGTTTTCCAAAAAGACAATTAATGCAGAGCCCAATTCTCCCATTATTTATCTGAAAGACAGTATCACCTAAGTCAATGCATTTTTTTAAAATAAGTCTGAGGGCAAAGTTAAACTGATCCCCCAGATTTGACTCTACTGCTGTTTTCCAGCCCAATTGCTTTAGCATTTAAAAACTGTAGATAGTATCATTAGCCATTAACTGTCTTTAAATATTTCAAATTAAAATGCTTTATCAGGAAAATGAATTTTAAAGTCTGCAAGGTAGTGTCTCGCAGAAGCAGATGTCTTCCTAAGTATTATTCTAATTTAATTCATAAATCATGATTACCATTATCACCCTATTTAAATTCATTTTGATTCCAGAGAAGCTTTTTAATACCAGAATAGAGAATCAAGGGACTGTTATTTCTTTCATACAGGAAAATCTGGAAAGTAAGAGGAAGCAATCAGAAGGCTCATAAGAACTGCCACACCGTTCATCCAGTTCAGTATCCTACTTCCAACAAAGCCAGTTTATAGTTGAATGTAAGAAAGATGGCAAATGGTTCTACCACTGGTACATCTTGGGTCATTATGATGATGGGTTCACCATTTTCACCTTTTTCACCTTATAAAAAAAAAAAAAACAGGAGTTGGGAGTTCAATTCAAAGCCCACAGAAATGCTACTGATTGACTGAAAATATTGTTTTTTTCAAAAATGTAGATACACTTTTATAGCTGCCTTTTATAAAGACAAGTGTTGGAGGAATGTGATGAACAGAACCTCTGATTACAATTGTATAATGATAACCTAATTTGGATGTAATATTATGAGCTAATATTTTAAATATGGGCACTGCAAGAGGAGCCCACTAGATGCATCAGTTAGAGAAGCCCTGGAATACATACTAAATAGGATTACGACGACTTTCCATTTTCAAACTGATTTTTACTCAGTGACCTATATTTGAAGTTCACACTTAGAAAATAGTATTGCTGCAAGTTTAGCTTGGTCTGCAGTAGTTTGTTTGCACAAACAACTGGACTCCAAAAGGAAAGAGAATGAATCTAGAAGGTCAGAGGTAAGATAAGATGCATCTAGAAAGAGAACATTTGCAGATGAGTCATTGTTAAGAAGAAAAGGAGAAAATCTTGTGTTACCAGAGCACATTTCCTTCCAGAGCCTGGAACAGCCCCCAGGCTTTGATTTCTATCATTCCTCCTCTTCTCCATTAGAGCTGCGAAACGCGCTGGCCACAATCTCTGAGTCTGTCCTGCTCACCCTACTCAGGCCACCACTGCACTGGGTAGGACAGGGCTGAAGAGCTGCTGGAACTGCACGGGACTCCTGAGCCCAAGTGTAAAGGTTTTGGGTGGAAGTCCCAGGCGAGACGTCTCACAGCAAACCACTCCAGCAGGTAAACGGAGCAAGCATCTGATAGTCCAAGGAGGCTGCTATACCTTATGTTCACCATTTAGGCCCTGTTTGTGACCTCAATTCAGTGCGTTATAAACCTAGGATATTGGGAATTGAGAATCCTGTGACATATTTATCCTGAAAGCCAGCCTATCTAACAAGGTTAGATTT